CAGTTTATGGCCCTGCCCTCAGGACACAAGCCCCTCTGCTTTCTTAGATATACGCTCCCGAAGATGTGCAGGCTATTTCGGGGAGACTATCTCAAGGTCAGTAGGGCATCCATAACGCCTTGATCATGGCATTCAAATCACGCTCTTCCATTAGTCATGCGGTGATCAAGGTCAAGAGAAATAAAAGTGATGTTTGTTGATATCTGTTGTTCGTAAGCACGATTTCACGACATAATAGCCGTACATTGGCTTTCGATCAATGTTGTGCAAGGTTCGATGACGTAATCAAACAATGACGTATTGAGCAGCGTATTTACTCAACAGGGAAATTGTGTTGTCTAGAGCAGACTTTCCACTTTGAAGTATGCCATTAGTTGTAAGTGAGTTTATTTCATCATATCTGATGCCTGCTTCACTATCTTCAAGCATGGAATATTCCTTTTAAAGAAATTGCACCATCCAAGAACCAAGCAGGAAGTTATTACAATAGACATTAATGATAAGAATGTCCCAAATGCAAAGCTTTGGAGAGGTGCCAAGATACTAAAGATGAGCACAAGAAATCAGACAGCTCAGTTAGAAGGTTGAAAGAGATTACCAAAAGTCGAAAGTGTGGGGAGTACTGACCCCAAGCAGACGATAAATGTTTCCTTGAAAGAAAACCATGAGGCCTGACAGGCGCCGTCGGCTGGCACTATCACCGCCATCTTAACTACGTTGACACGGAAAACACAAATCCATGGCCAATATCTGTGTCTTGCAGAGACCATGCTACCACTCAATTTACCCAACGAAAGCCACAAAACAACGAAGTATTTACCATCAGCATCAAATACCGTCTCCCTCTATCATACCAGGCAAACCTCACAGACGGCTCGATGGCTGCACTAATATGGCGGTGGCTTTCACGTTGTAGCGGATTTCTGACTGCTTCCGTGATAGTTAATACTAGTGGAGACCTCGCTCGTGTCAGTCTTTCTCAAGAGACAACAAAGAGATATCTTGTCAAACAATGACTCTATTTTCTGGGCACTTACATACACTAACACTCGCACCACAACGTCAAATATGTCCTTTACACACAACCAACAGCAAATATGCGTCTTCGAGCCCGAAGAGAGGGAAGCTTCTCAGGGGTCACCAATGATACGGTTTATACGCTGTGCGCATCGGAACTGATTCATGGTTGTGGAGTCCAGAAATAACGTGATGTTAACCAATGAGAAACGAGAACGACGTCGTCCCATCGTCGGCTAAACCAATCAAAAAGTAAAGAACGCCTTGCGATCCCAGAACTGGCTGATGCAACTGGCAGGTGGTGAGACGCTGAAGGCTACTCTTTAAACGAAGTGTCAGATAACATTTCGAAAGCCAGGCATACTTCATGCTCCGATGGAGTGACTGGAATGCGGTGAGTGCACATGCCTGAGCTTGAGCAAAGGCGAGACACGTACTGACAGGCAGCTTTTGTCCTATCTATAGTCCTTTATATATATATATATATATATATATATATATATATATATATATATATATATATATATATATATATATATATATATATGTGTGTGTGTGTGTGTATGTATGTATGTATGTATGTATGTATGTATGCATGCATGCATGCATGCATGTATGTATGTATGTATGTATGTATATACATACATAGGATTGCACCCGCCCCCTTCAGTCGTTACCATGCTAATTTGAAGTCATTAGATCCTCACCGGCCTATTGCTCCGAGTACCGGGTGTCACTGGCAAAAATGTCGTTAAAGCACGGCGACTGTCGCATGAGGTCTGCCTCCGCGGGTTCTAGCTCTGCTATTCAACGAAGAAACACCTCACCCGATATATTTAATGACTCGGCATGACTGGTCCCACTCAGGGCCCCTATAAGCTCAAAGCCGTCGGCCCCAGCACGCCGGCCCAACAGCGTTTCTAACAGCCGGACTGCGCAGCACCGCGCGCCGGTCAGCACCCAGCGGCACACGACTGCCTCACGCGCGCCACTGACGACAACGCCCCACGTGGCATTGCCCCGTCACACTGATCGGGGTCGAGGTTCATGCATGTCATATGCGTCACAACAGCCATAGTCAATCAGCTCAAGAGACATATCGAAAGGACCCAATTAGATAAGTTGTTAAGTGAGTTTGCGCGGAACATCATCGCATAGATAAGACAGTAGTAATAGCTTTATCCCTCGGAGAAGAACCAGGAGAATGAAGATATAGATGGATTGATATTTCTTTCGGCATCATGCCTTTAGCTATTGTTTCGATAAAGCCACTGTTGCCGAAATTTCAACCCATCTATGTCTCCATTCTCCTTTTTTCTCCCAGGGAGAGGGCTATTACTACTGTCTTAAGTATGCGGACCCAGTCAGAGTCTGTGGTCGCAAGAAACGTACCAAAAATGCACCAAGATGCGACGGTAAGAGAGATTTTCAGAGGCAGCAGCTATTAAACGCTATCATTCCGGCACACGTTCCCCAGAGGGAATGATTTTATCGCGCGTACAAGACGGCCAGCCAGGGATTCGACCGAGCGAGCTCTCGGTCAGCTCTGCACCACAGTTGTGGCGAGGAGCAGGCCGGCTCTGGCCAACATCACATGCAAATCCAGAAAACCCTCTCAAACTCCGTAGACAATGGTACTAAGAAGTGTCAAAAAGATACATAAAGCACTTCCCAACATCCCGCATACAGTGCAACGTTACAGGCCGCAAACAATACAAACGGCGAAGCCGAAGGTTTATGGAGTCCGATACAGGGAACCAGATGAGAACACTACTTGCTGCTCACCAGCCATCACGAACATTGCTTGAATTTCAGGGGCGTACATAACTTAAAATGGTTGTTAAAACCGGGTCCAATGATTAAGTTTGTATGTTCAGCCCGGGGAGAAACATTCAGGATGTGTGGCGATTCAAAGATCTTGAAGTCCACCTTGTGTTTACCTGTTGCTAAAATTTGGATTCAAAGTTCGCGTTTGTTGCGCTTTGATCCATTGCTGCAAGTCGATATACCTTATGTTCTGCTAATAGTGTGTGCCCTCTCCGTAAACGCGCGTCTTGGGTGTTTAATAAGCGGACACGAATGTTACGCTTTGTTGCTCCTACGTGAATTATCTATCCCACGCACAGGGTGAAGGGTACCTTGTATACCACGTGTTTACGCGTTCCGTGTTCCCCTTCAGTGCACTCACAATGTCTGGCAATCTCTACTCTCAACTGCACACATTACCCTCTAGTGCTGATCGTGCTAGCATGGACTTAAAACTAGATCCACGCTACCCCAGAACCGCGCATGTCACTCGGTCATTGGGTGGCATCTACTTGCTTGCAGGGCTCGTCGGTTATGAGAGAGAGTTTCACATGAGCATAAGTTGTTTGCCTCACCTTTCCATGAACTTGCACTGAAGCCTGCTGTTGAAACCATGTTCACAAAAGAGGAGAGGCATTCTAGTTAGACTAGGCCCACACGATTGTGGATCAGAAGACACCCGCACCGCTCTCCGCGTCTGTGAAATAAAACCCGCTTTCTTAGAAACCATCGGGTGTGCCAAATCGTACTGCAGCGTGACAGGAGCCGCCATGAGTTTAAAGTAGAATTCTGGAGCATAACTTCAATCTGGTGTACTACGGAGGGTTGTCGAGAAAAGGAATTAGCAAGTTTTGTGTGGTGTGTCACAGCGTGCTACAAATTCTGAGGTCTTGTTGATGATCGTGATAATAGGAAGTCAAGTAGTGAGCTTAATTGTGATAGCAATTCTGAGCTCGCGTCGATGATCGTGATGAAAACAAGTCAAACAGTGGGTCCAGATGCCGGAAAAACATCGATGTAATGCAATCACAGCTTTTGCTTTAGACCATATTTAGCGACAGAGGATGACTCAGCACCGTGCATGACTGCTTTCGCCAGCGGTGGTCTATAGCGCCTGGCCATCGCCACTCCTTTCGTTGGTGTGTACATCGCGCTCCAGAAGTGCACTAGGCGAAAATAAAATATTTGAATTGCTGGTTTGGCGCAGCCAATTATGTTAATTCCCAAAAATATCCGCTCCAGATTTTTATCGATCAGGCTCGTTGCCGAGATGTGCTTTCTTTTGTATGGCTTTGTTGTCGCACATATTCTCTTACACCCATGGTGAGAGCGAAACAACCTAGCGAAGCTTTGTCGAAAACATATCCTTCACTCTCTTGAGACACGACTCTGTGTTGTGCAGGTGAACAAAGATTTGACGTGAAATTATTGAATCTCTTTAAAAAGTAAGACACGATATTTTACTGGGCCTTTCTGAGCCTTTGCCATTCTTTAGAATGAACGCTGGTCGAAATATCAAGAATCGTCAATATAATCGTTGCCTGGCATTACAACGTCGTTTGACCAGTATCTCTTAGTATATTAAGGGTCGTTAACTCAAAGTAAGAACTTTCAACTTTCATGATGACAGTCATTTCAATCTGATACGTAGAATACAAATATATCATTGCTATGTTACAAAAGGAGGAAGCCCAAAATGTCTCGTGACATTTCTCACTGTTTTCTGGATTTAGCAAGGCTGATATGCGTCAAACCACCTTTCAACTGCATTACAAACTCCTGAAGAGAATTATGGAGGTAGTTAAACCCGGCCTGGATCCGAAAGTTGGCAAGCTCCGCCGACTTCTTTGTCGAGTACAGAGGTAGCAGTATATACGGGAATGGTCTGGAATTAAATCACCCAGTAGAGGACTCGTACTTGCTCCAAGTTGGCGAAAGGTGGAGCACCCGGTCTTCCACGTGGCAAATTATATGTGAAAACTTGGAGCCAATTTCTCCTGGAATCAAATGAACGGAGCGCATTATTTCTATAGCCTTGGATTTCTTCTTTGTTGATCCGAGATATTTTGCCGCCCATGAATCTGGCGTGCCTTGTAGTTACTGGTGAAGTGCATGGTTTCCATCGTTTTCTCTTATCATACGTGCAAATTGTGCTTGCGAAAAGCCAGTCTTGGCAAACGCAACTTTATTTGGATACCAACAGCAAAGTAACAGCAAACAGTATATATTATCTAATGAACAACGAACGCATGGGTTATCATCTCGCTACAAAATAGTCTATATCTCCACACACATGTACATGTACACAGCTGTGCCTGGCCAGTTGTCCGATCAGAGAATGATACAAACATCGCGTAATTGCGATCAGTTTAGTAATGGGGAGGTAGAGGAAGGACGTCAGCTATATAACAGATGTCATGTTAATCTTCTTCACCGAAATATAACTCTCAAGAAAGCATATCGTTGAAAAGGGACATTATACTTGGCTTCAGCGACAGATATGGTCAGTATCTTATATACAGAAAATAGCATTGAGCGGGTCTCAGTTCTGGGATTGCCTAAGCTCAACTGCTTGTGAGACTTTGTGCACAATAACATAAAGCAACACAACAAACACGCCCAGTAAAGTTAACATTGTATCTTGCTCCTGGAGCATAATAGACAACTCGGTAATAATCGGCCACTGAGAACGAAACATTGAGTGCCACATGCCTCCAATACCAACCCACAGCTAAGAAGCGGTAGAGGTACAACGAGCCAGAGCACAGCAGAGTTTTCAATGGTGGAGGCAGAACGTGCGAAACGGGAGCTCTAGTCTCAAAGTTCCGCGTGTGTGATGCGTGCCGGAGAAGTTCCGTGACATTGCCAGGAGCACGCTGGAGTCATCACAAAGGCGTAGCACGAATCAGCCGACAGGGAATATTGAAGACGTGAAGTCCAATGACAACATCGAAAGAATCTAGCTAATGTTTCGCCATTGTCTGTGTATCGTAGTTGGTACACATGCATATGGCTGTAACGTCACTACAGTCTTCCTCCCGCCGGCCGGGGCGGCCGGAGCGTCGTCAAAAACAACGGCGGACGCTTCACAAAGGCGAACCAACCCAGTCACGCGCCACCCCACGTCATTCACTCTCGCTTCGTCTCGTACAGAATCACAGCTGCTAGGTGACCAGCCCGCCTAAAATAAGCCGCACCCCAGGTCGACGCGGCACCCAATGAATGGCTGGCTAACCCTCGGCTCGAGGTCCAGGGCCGGGTCTGATACTCCGGTCCGAAAAACGTCACGGCAGTCCTCGGGTCACGTGACAGGGGAGTCAGGGGAGACCCGGTTTCGAATCGGATCCGGTCTTTATTTACCTCCCAGAACCTCGAGTCACATCCCACAGCCAAGAAAGGAAAGCTGTAACTGAGAAACCACTCAGTGAAACCGAAACCAGCTCAAAAGCTCGGTATTTTCATACCAGGCCTGCAGTACAACTCCGAGAAGTCTGAATGCGCACAGCGATGTGATGTCAGAAGCTGGACAGGAAGGTGACATAAAAACCACCAGTTGATCCGAGAAATACGCGTCTGACACCAGGAGACAAAAACATGGACCATGGGAAATCGACCCTGATCTCACAGGCACAGATTCCGCACAAAGACAGCGCCGGACCTAAAAAATACGAATATGAATTTCTATACGTGACGTTGGTTTGAGACCCGCGACCACCTTCTGGGCACCCACGGCCTATTCATACATGAACACCCCCGGACCCCAAAGTCGTGTTCTGACGGTGTCCCGATCTCAACACCTGATGGTCTTGCCACCAGGACCCCTCTCAACCGCAGCAAGGCTGGACTGCGCAATAAATAGCAAACCAACGCAGCTACGTGACCAACCATCGCTGTTCGCCATAGTGATAGAATGCCAGTGCCTGGGAATAAAAGGTGGATTGTCGCGCCCGCTCGAATGGCATGCACAATTTTTGTATACAGAATCACCAGGCTAGCCGAGCAAAGTCACAAAATCGACGCGCGTGTGGGGTGCATCATGTGACATGTGCGAGGTATACGTACTTCTGTCACATAGGTGGTGCCATGAATCCGCCCAGAAACGACCTCAACGCAGTGTGCATTAGACGCAACGTTAGTGATGCCACGCGCCTCAAACCAGCGGTTTCGTTACATCCATCTCACAACAGTTGTGGCCATGCAATGGCTTCCGAAAATATTAGGTCACAGGACTTCAGATATCAGAGCACAGCTAACTTACATTAAATATAGGGAGCAATTAACAGCAGAAACATTAAACGTCTCGGACAAACTGGCCCAACAATGCGGCGCCAGTAAATATCACGGCGTAACAAAACCCACCGAGGAATTGTTCGCGCATTTGCACACATATCTCTCAGACAGCTATGACCAGCACCACCTCAAATCTCTCCGGCACAGCTCATTTGTCCTTCTCCTACATGTTTTATGGCTCAGGGGCTTCCTGTATCGCACATTCTCTGACACAAATCAGCATAGTCAACGCCACTGTTGCAAACGCGCAACGGACCATTAATTTAACCGCTCACACGTAGGCAAAAGTCCTCCCAATAAAAGGAGGCAGCGCGCAATCCCATCAGGTCACGGTCTCAGTACGCAACTAAAAGATCTCAAACTCTCAATCGTGAGTATCATGCTATTTAATATCCTCATTTCCATGAGCATTAGAGTGCAGCTTCCCATGAAAATTGCAGGTCTGCCGACGAAACAAGACATCGAGGTAAATTAACAGGCTGCCCTGTTCAGAACAAGAAGCTGAGTTTCTGACCCGGCACTTCATGCCGTCCTCATCTAGTCCTTTCGTCTCCAGCCCGTTGAAAGCACCACCTGAGAGTCTGGAGGCCCATGTCTGGCGCACCGGACCGTAATCCGTTTAAATCCATTGTAGCCACCCGGGCTTGTTGTGCAGGCCCCCAAAATAGACCTGTCCCGTTATCTGGACAGAGGGAGAGCTGTGAGCGCTTAGCGCGGCGCGCGGCGACCCTCGCCACTCTATCTGGGCATATCTCTGGAGAGGGCCGAAAGGAAAATAAAAAGCGGAATGGTTTGAAGGCCGGCGCTATGGTTCGTAATGCGGATAACATGCTTCAACCGGTAGAAGGACGCGATGCACGCGAAGTGAAGAGCCAAAGTAATCCTAGCCAACGATGATAAACTGACTTAAAGCGGAATACCATAATATTAACGTTATCTTCAGCACGTTAGCACCAACATCATATTCTTGTAAATCCATACGCGTCCGAGCGCCAACACAAAGACACGCTTGCCTTTGTAGATGTTGCTATATGCCAGCATGCCTACGGCAGGCATACTGTGAGGACAGTTCACGGCTCTTGCAACCTAACGCATCTGCGAGTCAATTCGTAATCCCACGTCAACCTCGAATATGCCTCGTACGAATCCCAGAGAAATCGCTACAAAACACGCCTGACAGCGCATACAACCCTCCCATCTCTCATCACAGCATCGCGCGCACCAGCATGAGGAAAGCCTCAGACCCACTGCAACATGCGTCTCAACTCTGACACAGGTCTGCCGAGGGACCGGCGGATGTCGGAAAGCTTTCAACTGGGGGCCGGCGAGCCGGTGCACTGGCGAAGTCCTCGCCTTGGTTTCCTCACCGTGAGGGGATCTGGTTAACCTGGCCACTACGCGGGATAACTACCTACAGGTACCACAGCACTGTATGCAAGTCACCAGTCGGCAGCAGACCCAGTGCCGGAAGCTGCGTTCTGAAGCAATAATGAACTATAATATTGCACTAACGGCTTGGCATAAGTAAGAAAATAAGCAAGAAACGCCTTTACCTCCTGGCTCTTTTTTGGCATTGTGAATCGGGGCTTTTTATTCCGTTACTGATCAGCCGTCAACACGCCGGGAAGTGCTGGTTAAAACGTTTTGAGGTAAGAATCTTTCAATATAGCCAATGCTTGCTTGATAACGTCGTTTACCAGTATTTCCTCCAGCACTTAAGGTCGGTTATTTTCTGAATAAGAGCTACCCATTTCACAGCGCATTCGTAGCCGGGCATGAAAAGGGCAAACACAAAACACCCGATATACATAATAATGCGTGCCTTCTACGAAGGTCTCTATCCATCTGTCTGTATATATATATATATATATATATATATATAGGTCTTAAAATACACGTTTATGCATAAAATGAACACATAACGAACAGGAAAGCAACCGTGGTGGAAAGCTTTCTGCCACATGTAATGTTGTGAGTTGTGAATAAGAAGTACCTAACGAAATAAAAAACAACATAAGTAAATAAAACAGAAAGGAAACGTTGATATATGGCTGGTTGAAATTTTCATGGCAGACGAGAAGCACTTGGGGAAATTTTCCGAGAATCTTTGAGCTATGTCTATAAGCTGTAGAACGGAAAGTTCATATCCCGCTCGAGGCCATAGCCGGGGCATAGAGTACCCCCAGTGGCACTACTGGTTTGTGTCCTGGACAACATTTTTTGGAAGCCAGTTTAAACTACCACACGCTTTAGTTAGAAAATTAAAAGTCACTGCACTGATCGCACTAAATCACCGACAACACACACACACACACGCACACACACACGCCATGGAACCGGACGAATCCGAATCGAGTCTCATATCACTAACAAAGCGCATGCTGAAACAGTCACAGGCACTCTGAGCTAGTCAATAATGCGCCAGCGGACAGGGCTTCACGAAAAGATAATACCTGACCAGCGGGCGTGATCATCGCTTAGGTCACGAGGCGCGGAACGTGGCGCCGGAATAACGAGCTCGTCCAGCCGCAGAGGATATATGAGACCAATGCTCACTGCACAATGGCCAACTCGCGCTAGCAGTCTCCGAGCCGCCGGAGGAGGAGGATCAAGTGAGTAGCACAACACGCGGAGCTAGTGACTTATACTCTGGAGGACTATCGCATGAGTGTGCGCGGACTTCCCTCGAGCGATGAGTGACTGCCCCGGTTGCGGGGACTGTTCGGGGAGTGTCCCACACAACAGCCGAGCGCCAAGTAAATGACACATCACTAACGGAGAACCGAGCGAGCGAGCAGGTTCTCGACGGAGACCGATGGAGCAAATCGACTCTCGACTAGCACGGAGCGAGCGAATCGATTTTCGACGGAAACGGACCGAGCAGATCGATTTCCGACGGGGAGACCTGGCCGAACGGCTCGATCTCGACGGAGAGCCAAGAGACCTACTCCATCTCTATCGAGAACCGGGCGAGTGACTCAGTCTCGTCGGAGAGAGGAGAGAATACCTGCATCTTGACGGACGACCGGGCGAGTGACTCGGACGTGACATCCGAGCGAGCGGTTCAACCTCGACAGAGATCCAAGTGAACAACTCGATTTAGACGGAGAGCCGCTTGAGCAACTCGATTTCGACGGCGAGTCCCGTGTGCGACCCGAAGGCGTCGGAGAGCCGAGAAAGCGACTCGAATCTGATGGAGGGCTGACAGGGCGATGGCACTCCCGTTACCAGGTGCCGACCGAGTGTGACAGTCCCCGGCGCAGTGTCAAGTGAACGCTCGGAACCCGGGGCTCCACCACGGAATCGTCGCCTCGGTACGGGCGCAGTCTCGCACGTGGGTTCAGTCAGCAGCTGTCCGATGGGTGGCCCCTCAGTGCGGGCGCAGTCTCGCGCGTGAGGTCAGTCAGCAGCTGTCCGGTAAGTGGCCCCTCAGTCCGGGAGCAGTCTCGCACGTGAGTTTAATCAGCAGTTGTCCGATGGGTGGCCCTTCAGTCCGGGCGCAGTCTTGCACCCGAGTTCATTCGGCAGCTGTCCGGCGGGTGGCCCCTCAGTCCGGGCGCAGTCTCGCACGCGAGTTCAGTCAACAGCTGTCTGGTGGGGGGCCAGCTGCTCTGATGTGAGCAGGACGCTAAATGACCTGAGAGTCTGGAGGCCCACCCAAAAACGATTTCAGGTAGGTCAGGATGCTCTGGTGGGCACCACCCAAGTACAGCCGGGTGTACAACTACGCCCAGCACCCGAGCGCGGCTGTGCACCTACATGCCTGTGCACTCGGGTAATAATACAAAGATTTGTGTGAATTGTGTTGATGCGTGTGAGTCTATCGCGTATGTGGTGCTTTAGGAAAGCGAGCAATGTCACCCCGCACTTTCCGGACACCATTTCACGTCGACACCGTGCCGCTCTCGCGGTAGATACTTGCACTAAATATCGCAGACCAGCTGGTCGAACTCAAAGCTCAGGGCCACCGCCAAGAATATGAAATACAAAAGAAACATGACCACGCCGAGTCCCTTGTGCATCCTCCACCTGAAGCACGCGATGCTGATGATGACGAACATGAGCATGATGAACAGGCAGAGGATGTTGCAGTTCATGCCTTCCGAGTCGACTTTTGTGGGCAGGACGTTGACGGTCTCCTGCCGCGACAGCTGGCCAATCGTCTTCGCCAGGGCGTCCAGCATCCAGGGCACCGGCAACCTGCGCAGGTCCAGAGGTCACCATTCGAGCTTCCCTTACGAAGAGCAGGTAAACACGGGGAATGGATGATGGTTCTCAGCCGATCTCATCTGAGTTGAGGTGTTTGGCCACTTATATAAGCAACACTGAGGAAGCAAACCACTGAGAAAAGTGAACTATCGGGAGTAGTTGCTTTCTCTGAGTTTTCCATAATCAACAACTACATGATTTATGCTGTGAGGAGTACACCTTGCAAGATAAAATTTCCTATGGTTGAATGATTCACAATGACCAGACAGTACCAACGATGCCAGCTGTCCGCTAGCAGAAATATAAAGGTGGGGGGGGGGGGGGGGAAGGGTGGACACAGCTTTGTGGCGATTTGTCCATTCTGAGCAAGGGAGAGAGCTGAAACAGTGGGATTCAGCACCATCCCGCCGCAGCGCGAAGTCTGTTCATATCTAGCTCGACTTGTGAGACGACTTCGAGCCGTTTGAAGGCAGGCTGACTAACCCGACGCAGATGTCGAAGATGTTGCTGCCAACGGAGGATGACACGGCCATGTCGCCGAATCCCTTCCTGGCCACGATGACGCTGGTGATAAGGTCCGGCACGGAGGTGCCAGCAGCCAGCACAGTCAGCCCCACCACCTGAAACGGATACGGTCAGCTGTTAGATCCAACGCCGGGTCTGGCCGATCAGGTACAGGAGACCCGCCGCCTGACACAGAGGCGTTCATGTCTGGTCAGCTCCACCATCTGACACCAAATCGGTCAGGTCAGGTCGTCTGCGCCATCCCACATCGAGAGAGATGTGCTGCAAGGTTCAGCCGCTGTCTGTCTCGAGCACACGGCTGCACCACGCGCTCTCGTTGATTACTCATTCGTGGAAAAACCGGTCTGCACATGCACTGGCACGTCAAAATCACCGAGAGACATTGGCATATGTCACGAACAATGCCGTCAGCCAGAGCGCCCACTTTTCCATAAATATTCAGCAGTTCTTACAAAACTCTCCTCCTCTGCCTTTCCTCACGTCCCTCGCCGGCCGCTGGGCACCCTGTGACACACGGCAATCTGGACCGAAGCTCGTATAACCGCGCCCAACTAGCGAGCCAACTCCGGCCATTCCAGCGTCCGACGGCAGTGCCGCGCCGCGTGGCTCCCGACCCCCGCGCCACCCCGGCAGGCCGCGTCAGTCGGTGCCGACGTCCCTGCCGGATCGCGCATCGCCAGGCGTCGACGCGGACCGGATCCGCCACGGCGGCGCCCCCGTGACCACCTGCCCGGAAATTGATGACGCCGTCTCCCAGACAGCGACGGCCGCCATCCATGCCGAACAGGTATCGACCGCGGAATATATGAATGTAGTCGCGTCTAATGAAGATGGCGAGAGGACTCCAGTGGAGTTAAAAATAGGTTACGCGTGAACCGGTGGAGTTTAGAATAGGTTACGCGTGAGCGTGAATCGGTGGAGTTTAGAATAGGTTAAGCGTGAGCGTGAACCGGTGGAGTTTAGAATAGGTTACGCGTGAGCGTGAACCGGTGGAGTTTAGAATAGGTTACGCGTGAGGGTGAACCGGTGGAGTTTAGACTAGGTTACGCGTGAGCGTGAACCGGTGGAGTTTAGAATAGGTTACGCGTGAGCGTGAACCGGTGGAGTTTAGAATAGGTTAAGCGCGAGCGTGAACCGGTGGAGTTTAGAATAGGTTACGCGTGAGCGTGAACCGGTGGAGTTTAGACTAGGTGAAGCGTGAGCGTGAACCGGTGGAGTTTAGAATAGGTTACGCGTGAGCGTGAACCGGTGGAGTTTAGAATAGGTTACGCGTGAGCGTGAACCGCTTGAGTTTAGAATAGGTTACGCGTGAGCGTGGACCGGTGGGCCAGCGACAGGATGGGACGGTGTGGATCGGTGACAGATCTCACCGGTGGACCGGTGGACCGGTGATGGGATATGGATCTGTGACAGAGCGCTGTAATTTCCATTTCAAACTAATGTGAGGTCGTGAGCTGTGAGAGGTTGTTCAGAAATGAGAAGCCGTATGCGTGGTATAGGGGAAAGATGCTGGACTCGCAATCCAGTGGCACCGGGTAATTCCCAGAGCGGGCGCATTGTTTGGCCCACCTGAAGTGGAAAGGTCAGCTGGCAACTGGCCAACGAGGGTCAACCCAGGCCCGGGTGGCCGTGTCGCAGCATTGTGGGACACGTAAAACCCTCCGCATTCCTGTCTGGCGCAGGGGCGGAGGCAAAATTATCCGTTGAACTGGGCGGTACGACTTGGGTAGTGGGGTCAGGGTAAGCGCAGCAAGCTATGCTTAGCAGGTACTGTAACCCAGTTGCTCATGCAAACCGTTCGGAATAAATTCCTTTTCAAAAAGTTTAGAGCCGGGCGTAATCACAGAAAACAATAATCTTAGCAAATCGACCGGTAGCAGTCAAGGAAAATAAGCCTCGTTTTTCATTCGTCCAAGGTGACCCGAGGCACAAAAAATGGTTTTACGCGGATTATCGTGGCCTTACAATAGCAGACGAGAGAAGCCGTGTAAAATTTATCGTGCACACTGCTAGAATAAACTAATATATAAAAGTGAAACAGAGCTCGCAGGCCCTTTTTAGCAGAAAAGTTGATGACAGGAAAGAGTAGATAAGGGCTGGCGACTGGACCGATCATCAGAGTGGAGGTGTCAATAAGTGGCACGGCCGACCCTTTGTCACGTATGGGAAATGGATTTAAGTGAGACAGGTTCAGAGTACCTCGTGCTTTGGCGTTATGATGTGGGAGTTTTCATGTTAGAAAATACTGACCTTGAGTATAGCAGGAGGTAGAAGTCAAGCGACATTATCAAGAAACCACGGGTTATATTGAGAGAACTTGTCATTTGGAAGCTGTGCTCATGGTCGTTTTTTCGAAGAATCGATTAACACCACCCCAAACTTCCCTTCACTCCGTAAAGCACACCGCACAAATGTGAAGAGCCCACTCTCAGACACCCTGTTTGGGGTGTGTACAACCAGGTGGCGATAAACCACCGAGCTGTCCTTTAAACCGTCTCCTTCAAACATGTCCTTTAAACCGTCTTTCCCCAAACTTGGCTTCGGCCGTCCTGATAGATCACTAGTTAGAGCGCCTGCTTTCCGATTCACCCTGGCGGAGCAGGTTCGAGTCGCCTTAAGCGTTCTTAATTTGTCCCTGACTGGAATAGCCTGCGGTCGGTGGCAGCGGCCACTCTAACTATCAGGTGACGTCAGAGGGCAGGACGGCCTGTGCCGAGCATCGCGACACAGTAAGCTTTCGGGGTAAAGGATGCAGTTGACCGGAGATTTCACGATCGGACGTTGCTGTCAGGGCCCACGCAACGAGCCCGCTTAGCATTGGCGCCCATGCCAGAAATGCATACAATGAAAAGGTTCGGACTAAATCTTTTTTTAAAAAAACTCATGGTCGTTGTCATCATAACGCATGACGATTCGATACGCCTCATGCTTCTACGAGAGCAGCCCTTATATCACAAATGCGGAGAGCGGCGTTTGTGTGTCCTCTCATCCCCAATAGTGTGGACGTAGTCGCGCTTTCCTTCTCTTCTTTTCCATGAGAACGAATACCGGAAACACTGAGCGAGGTCTCCAGATCGTGCCGTAAGTTATAGGTTAGCAATCAACAATATCAGGTCCGAAAATAAGTCGTAAAAATTAAAGCAAACAGACTCTGTTCAAATAAAACTCCCGTTTATCCAGACTGACCAATAAATAAAATCAAGCCACGTCTCATTCAGCTGTGGCAACAATGTTTCTCACACGACCGAGGCTATAGTGACATTCGAATGGCCATTCATCGTAAAGCTGGACCGAAACATTGGCAGTATTCAGCGATCTCACCTTCATCAAAGTATGACTGCAGAAGATACTTCGTTGAGGACAAGAGCGAACATCCTGTCAACATAACCTCAGAGCGCTACACTGCTGCCGTTCATATACCATTCGAGGAGGCCCTGGGGCGACTTCACAAAATCGATCATGGAAGGGAGTGGCTCTGGCAGGACGGGATGACCTCGGGCACGGCACGGACCTCATTGAATTGGCAAGAGGAGCATTTCCCTTGAATGCACATCAGCTTAAGCCTGCCGTGCTGTGGCTTCTCACTCACCCGACCTTTCGCCCCTGGACTCCACAATCTGGGGTAACCTAAGGAACCCCATACCCGCGTGGACAAGCAAGCGAACATCCAAGAACTCAAGGTCGTCTCCAGACTTCAGATGGGACGCATCACCTTCGACAAGATCGAACAATCGACGGCCTGCAGCAGATTAAGCTGATGGCCATCCTGGGCCGCCTGGCGGCCCATCTCGAGCATCTCTTGCAGTCTCATTTTGAAGGTCGTGGAATAACTAATGACGACTTCCGCCGCTGTTCGTGTTTTGTCACTGAATGGCAGCCGATGGCCTTCACCCACAGCCACGATTGTGTGACAGGTACAATTGCCTCCGCTGAGGTTATCGTCGCTAAGCTTTTACGAGGGCCACTCTCATTTCAAAAAGCTGCCGCATATTGCAGTCTATTTTTACAGATGCACCTGTATTGTCTCGTTGCAATCCTGCCGGCATTTGTGGACTGGCATAACATGTAAAAAAGTTTGCGTGATAAAGACATGACGTATGTACCTACCGGAATCTGCTGGGCATAGCATAATCATGATATTAAAAGTGATTTGCTTACTGTTTCGGCGCCTTGTGTTGCAGCAGTTTCAGAGATATATTTTTTTTGTATTTCTTCTGCCCAGTTTTCCCTGTTTTGCTCATATGCATTGGGTTGGGAGGCTCAGAGGAGCTCGGGAGGAATGAAATCAGCATTGGGGCAGGGGGTTCAGCCCCCGACAATATTAAAACACGATGCTCCTGGTTCCTCTTCAGATGACAGGTCAAAAGGAATCTGATTTGTCGGTTTTGATCTGTATAACAATACAGAATACATAAATGCGTGTGTGTGTGAGAGGTGGTGCGCGCTGTGCGATTGCTATAAACCTGCTCTGAAAATTAACTTGTCAACCATAGCCGATCACGAGCGAATGAAACATTGTCACTTTTGCCCCTCGTCTTCAGCTGTGCCATTGCTGTCAGGAGCTTGTCGCAGCCGTCAATGCCGTGCCTGCATCCCGCGCTGACAGGCTTTCGATTTGCGAAGTCGACATGCTTCAGCATTCACAGCACCACTGATGTCACCAAGCGCCTGGCCTTAACTCCAGTACATTGGACTGGACAAGTGCATTACCATCCGGTCCGCGGCTCTCAGTCTAGCCAGGTCGACATTGATTTGTTGAAGTTTGAAACTGTTCGGGGACAATGGGCAACTTTTTATGGGCGTCCATTTGGTGCTGCGGGACTGAATAGAGCCACAACTTTCGTAAATCTGGTGATTCAACCACATTTCTCCAGACAAATGACATTAGTTTTCAGCTATATATTTAAAGACATGGTTTCAAGTATAGAGACGGCTGGCTTTCATTCCGTGGGAAGAATCCGTCCTAAAGACAAAGCTCCACGAACGTGAATTCAGCTTAGAATTCACGGCAGTGCAAGGTGCGCTGAAAAGCACGAGACGCTTGTCATGTAGCTGAATTCAGGATTCACTAAGATGCTTAAGTCGCTGGGAAAAC